GTGTGAAATTAAGATGCTCTCTGAACGAGCCGAGAGTTATAAGTTATTGAGAGTTACTGTCAAAACACCTCATCAGAAGAACAACAGGAAGCGCCAGGAGATGTTTGTAACCAAAGAGGAGCTTGTCTTTCAGGAACGCCATGAGCTGATTGTGCAGACGGCGAGGCAGAGAAGGCTCTGCAGACGTACCTCAGCTGGACCTGAACGGTGAAGTCGCACTTGGTCCCGGAGATGTCCCTGAACGAGGGGTGACACACGGGCAGGTAAGAAGCAGAGCTGGCCAATATCACATTGAAATGACAGCGCAAGTGCAAAAATCACTGGGGCTTCAGATGATGGGCAAGAACTTTTGGCTGGACGGCAGCTTTTCGGATATTATGCAGACGTTTATTTACGCCTACAGATTAGTAAGCAGATTAGTAGCATGCCTAAAATATAAACGAGGCATTTTATGTTGGTAATCAGTATAAATCTGCCATGTCCTTATGTTAAAGTACTGCCATACCACCGACATCTTTTTACCTTGTTCATCCACAATATCTCCTCGGCTGTTGAGCTGTCCCTGTCTTCACCGCCACTTACCAAACCATGGAACATACCAGAACAGTATTATGTCGTGTGCTCCGCTAACAGAATTTAATAAAGATAAAGATACGCAAGTTTATACAGATTACTTACTTTTGGGGGTCACAAAACGGATCTCATTAATAATTTAGCCGTACTACTAATCTGCTTAAATTGTGGGAGTAAATAAACGTCGGTAGAGCACCGAAAAGCTGGTGTCCGGCCAAATGTTTCGCCGTCATCTGAAGCCTGGGTGATTATTGCGCATGCGCGATATAATACCGATATGATAACACCCAGCCCACCTAGTTAGAAGCAGATGGGGGAACCACACGGGGAGGAACCGTGACAACGTCCACACTATAGTGATATTTACTAGCAGAAAGTGAATATTCTTCCTTAGCGGGGGGACAGAAAGCCCAGTTGGGCGACTGGTAACACACGAAGACTTACATTGAGCTGCTGATCTGCTGCACTTGCTGAGGCGTCAGTGCAAACGCAAAGCACGTTTCTTGAAACCGCTGGCTGTTATCCGAGGCTGTTGGGGGGAGAAAGAAACTTCTCCAGTTAGACAGATATCAGGGGGGGGGGGCAGAAGGCCACAGCCTTCAAGCTTCAAGTCTCATTCTCAGACACTAATTCTGATATGAATAAACAAACACAGAGGAGTAAATGTGTGGCTATTTCACCCCCGGGGGGCGCTTGGCCGCTCAGCTTTGCGTGTGCATAGCGTAGCGTTCATGCCGGCGGGGGATTCAGACAGGTTAGCACTTGTTATCTCTGACGGGCTCTAATCCTGGCATCAGCCCCCAGCGGTGAGAGACTAAACGCTCCCTGTGACTCCTCTTCCCTGTCACTTCACGTCCAGCAAGGAACTTAACATGGAAGAGAGGCTTAGCTGCCGAAACACCCGGACCAATCCACAGTCCCACCGAAGATGGCAGCAATGCCCATATTAGTGTGTGTAGGCCGCATTAAACTCCAGTGGGTGAAGTGGAGGCAAGTTACAGACTGAGCTATTTCCTGTGCCCTCATTAAGGTGCTATTTGTCCTGTCATGTCTGTGTTTATGTACGGGAAAGCAGGATGTTTCTCTTTGAGAAAATGGTCGCCGTTTTAAACTTCTTCCTGGTCCACAGTGTAGTCGGCCAAGGGGAGAGTGCAGAGCAGAGACACTGGTTCTCGTGCAATAGGGACACTCCACACACCTGTGGTGTTTTTTTAAACGTGCAAGCTCCCGGCCTGATTCAGGGCTGTGTGTCCCTTAGAGAAAGGCAGCGGCAGCTGAAAGCAAGGCTGGCCACAGCTGCACTGGCTGAAGCCCCCCCCCCCCCCCCCCCCCGTCGCCGAAGCCGCAGCTGCCACACATGTGGAAGATTAACTCCCCCAGACAGCGTGAGACCCCCTCCCCAGCCCACACCTGACTAGCATGTGGATTTAGGAGCATGAGCAGTGGCGTTCCTCAGGGCAGGGTCCCATTAGTCAGCCCACAAGATTCCAGGATCAGGAACCCAGTCCACAGTTACAGGGGGGATGCTGTCCGCACGCAAAAAGCAGCAAACCGCCCTCGCATGCCGACTCACATCACTGAGGGCGTGGGACGCACCTGGCAAAATGTACGTACGTACGTACGTACGTACGTACGTACGTACGTACGTACGTACGTACACACATACACACACATATGCACGCGCACAAACACACTTTTATCTATGTGGACTTCCTACTCACTGTCATTTTCTTCCCCCAAATCAAAATCTTCATTCTTAACATCTTCCCCGACAAAGGCAGCGAACACACGTATGCAGATAAAGGTTAACCTCAGGACCAGTAACCAGGACAGATAAAGGACCAGTTTATTTCCAACGTGCCTGTCGTGCACACAGTGTTCGGAGATATCGCCATCATCATCCTCCATTCAGTGATTACCGTGGAAGAATATCACTGAAAACGTGGGACAGAGGCACAGGGGTGCTCCAATTACAGCCCACACCAAAGCCATTAAACATACATCACCCACCCACTCGCACTATTACCCCTCCCCGAGGTTCGTTATGCAGGGTTCAGTGGAGAGAGCAGCACACTGCACACTGTAGATTAGCCCAGCACTCATCTTCGCTGTGCAGGAGCCTGCCCTGCCTCCCTGGCACCACGGCTAAATATAGCTACAAAGCCCAACAGACCTGAGTTGTTTCCACAACTGGATGCACAGAGGATTTAAAGGTGAGCACTGCCGGGCGGTGATTGGCGTGCTACATCCCGAGCCTCGGCCAACACGAAGCCCCCGCCAAGTCATCTCCTGCTTCCCTTCTGACCACACCCTCCTCGGATTATTGGCAGAGCAGGCCAGGGGGGCGGGGCGTGGGCAGAGAGAATTAAATAAAGCAGAAAGAATGCAGCATGCGATATCGCCAGAACTCCGCATGCAAACACATTGCAGCTGGAGCTCGTTAGTGACGCACGCGGCCGTCTCCAGGAGGCATGAGGGCCAATCAAGGGATGCCTGTAACACCCCCCAGAGGTGTACATAAAACACAAAAGCATGAAATGCTGTGAAGGTTGGTTTGCCAAAGTGTGCGCGCAAGATGCTCCCTCCACACGTGCAATATGAAACGTCTGTCCAGATCTCAATTATCCAGAAAGCTAATCAATATTTCAGATGTAATGGACTGAGAGGAAAGTGGCCCATTCAAGTCATGAGCCTGGATGGCCACAAAAATAAATCAGTGCCTTAAAGGGAGGGAAAAAGAACAAGAGCAAGGGGTCGCTTTGCAGGGTAACTGTCTGGACCTGTTGTTTGGGGGGGGGGGGATGAGTAACACACAGAGAACAACAGAAACAATCTTGCCATGTGGGAATCAGCTCCATGCCCAGACCTTACAGTCAGAGCCACGACAAGCCTTTCACCGATACGCAAAATGTTCACATCGTTAAACTCTCCCCCCCAGAAACTTTTGCTGGGTTACCCAGGTCCAAAAAGCATGCAGCGGACCTGCAGAACAGATAGTCACCGAAGAAGCACAGAACCTGGCCCAAGGACTCCGTCATTACCTCAGTCAATTATTGACAGCGTACAAGCAGGACAATGTACACAGCCAGAGTCCAGTGCGGAAAATACACACTGAAGGAATGAGACCAAAGTTATTCATTACTGCCTGCTGGATCAGTAAAAGCCTGAGACCGAGGAACAAATCATTCTGACCCCTGAATTTCTTATGCTGAACTAGTGCTGGGTGATATATCGAGTTTTTAAGATATATCGATATATTTTCATATGAGATATAGGGTAAGATAATACAGTTTATATCGATATAGTTTGTGCTGCTGTAAGATTATACACATAGAGCCACCAGTGCGCTTATTTCTCCTCTTCTTGTGTGTCTCTCGCACAAGTGAACCCTGCCCCGCCCCTCCCCTTCTGAACCCTGCCCTGCCCCTCCCATTCACTCACAGGTGCTACATGCAGCGCACTGGTCCATATCACCCAGCCCGACGCTGAACGTGTGAAGCTGCCATTTGCCTACAATATGAATTATACAATATGAAATCAGAAGCCAACCTTGCTGGTATTAAAAGTATTAATAAAATCACCAGTTACAAGAGAGACAAGGCATGGAACCCTGCTTCTAATGGGCCTGTTCTCCAGAAATCCATCCAATGGGGGCAGTGGAATGCTTGCATGAGAAGCTTACATCAGGAAATCATCTCTTCATCATTTTATTGGCACCCAAGACAAAGCATTTGTTTCAGTGGTCACCCGTTACAACCTGTCATCAAAATTTAGTTTTATTGCATTAGCATTTCTACGGAACGTTCTGCATGCAAGACCTCTGTAAAGCAGACTGGTTTACTGCAGCGTGAGGCTGGTGCGAACAGCCAAACATGTAGTGAATACTGGAAGATTCAAACAGCATTAAATGGTGACATTCAAAGCCTGCTGTCAGCTCATCCAGTCCTGTAATGTCTGACAGGATTAATCAAAAAAGACTCCATTTTTAATTAAGAGGTTCCGTTTCTTGGGGGAAGTGAAGCCTGTAAGTGTGTACAGTGGTTAAGTAATAGACTAGAAAGGTTTATTTTTCAAAAAAATAAACTCTTTACTTTTTCAAGTTTTGGGTTTAAACTGCACATTTAAAGGCCCATAACTGAAATGACTTCAGTGAAATACGGCCAAAGCAACATGCAGGAAAAAATTCAATTAATAAACGGTCATAAAAGCAACGGAAGAAACTTCAAGAATGGCCGCACGGGGAAGCGTTTTTAGGTAAGGCGCTAAAGCAGAGCAAACGCTTCAGCGGGACTTGACGCCACCACGTTTTAAACCGGGGAGAACAAGTCTGACGCGAGTCTCACCATGGCAGTTTATGACAAAAATCATAAAGCCGAGTTCAGCAGAGCACAGGGGAGGGAATGTAAACTCAGTGAGGGCTGAGGTATGAGCTGGGCTGCGCCGGAGGAAATGCAGCCAGAGCCCCTGAAGTCAGCGGATCCGGGTGATAATCCAGGAAATGCATCGTTTGCACGAGCAAATGAAGGTCGCTTATCGCTCCCTTGGGAGGCGTTTCTCCGCTCGGCGCGAGACCGGCCAGTTGTCATGGATATAAGAACGTGAGATGAAGCGTGACGCCGATGTCCCAGTGGCGTGCCAAACGCACACTGCGATTTAGAGTGCGCACCCCTCGGGCCCAGACAGCCGCACAAAGGTGCACCAACGTCGACGGGCAGCGCTCGCCAACGGCGAAAAAAGGTGCCGGGGTTTATGTGCCACTGCAAGAGGCACTACTCTGCCTGAATATGGAGGCCCCTCCCGATGTTACGGGGACACCACAGGCCCTGATACCGCCAAGTGTGTCTGTTATTATTGGGATACAGGAGGCCTCACCGGTCAGTCATGTGATCAGTCATGTGATCATTCATTACCCTCCTGCATGGCACTGCCCATATTTAGGGTCTAACCCTAAACCCTTTGATTTGTTTTTAATCCAGGTCAAACCAGGGTAACAGACTAATGTGGCACAGGGCCTCTGCGTGCGTTTGCACACGTGTGTGACGCGCTTCATTTGCGAAACTAGGGCCTTAGAGCCCAGAACTGCACGCCTGCGATAACATCAGCGCACACACAAGTGATATATAGCGGCTTTTGGAAAGCAGGCCAAAGCGGGGGGGTGGGGGGGGGCAGGAGGTGGGGCCGCAGGCGGCTCGCCTTTCTGTATGGGGGAGCCGTCTTTATAAATGTCTGTGCCTGGCAAGCGGGGAGCCGCGGGCCGATTCCTCAGAGAGCCGCTGGGGGAACGGGTGACGCGCGTGCCATCGCCGCCACAGCCGTCTCACCTGACCGGAGGCACGCCTGCGATGGCCGCTCAGCCGCTGCTTTAACTTGCAAACGCATGCAAAGGCGCACGTGGCCGGTGCCCATGGCCTCGCTCCGCAGCCGGCTGCGCGACGCGAACAGAGAGCGCCTGAAGCAAGCTAACGCTGCATTACCAGCATCATAAGAACATCGCATCTACGGGCCAGGAGAGGCGGCACAAGGCACCACCAGCAGAGGTACGCAGGTCTCAGTCACTGCCAGGCCATGCGGGGGGCAGGCCAGGGCCGAAGGTAAGATGAGCTTCAATAAAATTAATGAATTATATTTCCCACTGATACTTAAGAGCAGCTGCCAATATAGTTTTAAGGCCGGGGGAAAAAAACAAACACGGAGGGTAAATGCTGACAGTGTATCACATGCTTAGGGTCTAAGCACTGCAAAGACCCCCCCCCCCCCCCTCAGATTCAGGGGAAATGTACAAACCCCCTTGAGGGCCACGAGTTCCAGAAACCCTGCGCCAGCCTATGGGCCATGAAACAGTTAATAATAAAAGTCACTTTCTGTATCGTTTGGGAACATTTACACCTTAACACGACTGATAATGGTATTCAGCATTCTCTGTATCCCTATTGTACGTACTGCACTCCAAATGTGTGGATAGTCTGGCTGAACACGGTGCACCAGTCATGTGCTTTGCTCGCAACTGGACAAAAAAAAAGTGTTGCTGATATTAATTAACTTAGAGGAATCTTTCTACTCCGTGTGCTTTAGACCTGCAGCTGCATCTGGTCTGAGATTCTGAAACGGGGCCAGGGGGCTTCATTAAAGGAGCAGCGTACATCTTTCTGCTGGGGGTAAAGGGCCAAAGGAATGACATGGTCACAGGTGGAATGTGAAACTAAGTTACACCAATGCTAGGAAATGCTGCCTTGAGTGGACGGCGCCCCAAGTCGGCACTGTCCCAGTGTCAAAGCTGCTATGAATGTTCACGAGGTTCCCATGTTACAGCTGCTGAAAGGAAGTCACAGGAAAACCGCCCGACCGGCATATTTCGGGCGAACAAAGAAGAAACTACTGAGAAAATAACACGTCACGCAGGCGTTTCGGGGGCTCCCCATCAGCAGGCACGGTGCTACACCTCTGGCTTCCTGTGTCTCGCATGAAAGCCTTCCACTCCTCACCACCACGTCAGACAGACAGGAATTGAGATGAAGAGGAGCAGAGATGCACAAGAAAATGAGAGACAGACGAGTGAAAGGACTGATGGTAGACAAGTGCACAGAAACAGAAAATAGAGAGACAAAGGAAAAAAAAAAGACTGGCAAGAGAGAGGAAAACAGGCTGTGTGACAGAAGGCAAGAGAACAAAGAGGGCTGAGAGAGAGAGAGAGAGAGAGAGAGAGAGAGACAGGAGGACTCAGAGAGAGAGTGGGGAGACAGGCAGGCTTAGAGAGAGAGGGAGAGAGGGGAGGGAGAGAGAGAAAGGGGGGAGGAAGGGGGGAAAAGAGGGAGGGGGAGGGGAGACAGGCAGGCTTAGAGAAAGGGTTCAAGGGAGGGAGAAGTAAAGAGGGGGGAGGGGTGGGAGAAAGACAGGCATATGTAAGGGTGAGAGAGAGAGGTGGGGGAGGGAGAGGAGAAAGACAGGCAGGCTTAAAAACGTTCACAGAGAGGGAGAGAGGACTGAAAATGGAGGAGTGACAGAGAGAGCGGGGAAAAAAGGCCGAGGCTGAGAGGGAGGGAGGCCCAGATCAAGATAGGAAAAGTAGGAGAGGAAGACAGACAGGCTTAGAGAGAGAGAGAGTGTAGGAAGACAAGCAGGCATAGAGAGAGAGTTAAGGGGAGAGAGGGATTGGGGGGGGGAAACTGCCAGGCTAAGAGAGGGGGAGACTTGGAGAGAGAGACAGAGAGAAAGAAGAGGAAGACAAATAGGCTTAGAGAGCTTCAGAGAGATAGAGAAAGGCAGGCAGGCAGACTCAAAGAAAGAGAGAGAGAGAGAAGAATGATGGGCAGGCAGCGTGTGAGGTGGGCTGAGGGAGAGAGACAGCAAAGCAAAGAGAAAAATGAGAAAGCCGAGAGAGACACCACAGACCCTGCAGAGAGATGGGCAGGCACAGGGAGAGAGAGACACCGACAGGCCGAGCACAGCAGAGAGACGGGCAGGCACAGGGAGAGAGAGACACTGACAGGCCGAGCACAGCAGAGAGACGGGCAGGCACAGGGAGAGAGAGATACCGACAGGCCGAGCACAGCAGAGAGACGGCCTAAGAGAAGCACACTCACCCAGACTGGTGGGCTTGATGAGCTCATCCAGCATGTCGTAGAAGGGCAGCCTCTGCAGCTTGACATCGGGGTGCACTGGGTTGAGGGCCGAGGGCAGGTGAGGCAGGCCAAGTTCATGCTTGGGCCCCAGCAGGGAGACGGGCAGCAGGGGCGATGGGGCGCCATGGCTGTCGAAAGCCAGCTGGGTGATGCCTGCGGCCAGGGAGCTGCTGCTGGTGTGGACGCTGGGCAGGGCCAGCTCGGCGGGGGATACCATCTTGGTGGGGAAGCGCCTGCGGTACAGCTCTTTGATTTTCATCTGCACGGCAGGGCTGCAGCCGGCCTTCAGTAAGTGCAGCGCCTTGGTCAAGAGTTCGTGCTTACGACCGTGTTTGTTGCGTCCCGCGTATCCCAGTAGTACTTGGAGCTCCGAAACACGAAGGCTCATTACCATTTGCTGCCATCGTATAGGAGACAGAGAGAAAGAGCCACAGACAGAGAGAGAGAGGGAGAGAGAGAAAGAGAGAGAGGTAAATCTGAGGTCCTTATTAAACTCCACATTTCACGACAAAACTCAAGCACACATTTGCATACCAAGCTGTCAAGCCAAGCTGTCATATCTAGTATTCATCAGGACTGCAGGTAATTGGATAAAGTCCAAAGAGGGAAATAAAAGCGGCTGTTTTATGGATACGTTTTGGGTTTCCCATGCTGATGCTGATCCCAGGACATCACACCTCCACCCAGTACTGCTGACCACGACAGGCGCTCAGGAAGACGGCTGTACCCAAGCGAGCCCAGGCCGAGACACACCTACGCCGCAGGGAAGGGGCCTTGTGGAGGCCGTGAGATCTCGTCTCTTTTGGAGGCTGACCACAAGGTGGGTGTGTGCCTGCATGCTCACTCACACACACGCCCATGAGCGAAACCTCCTCCACAGGAAGGGACCCGACCATCTAAAGGAGAATCGCAACCAAAAAAACCACACCCGCTGTTTTGTTTTACAAAAGAATTATGTCCTCTTAGGTCATCAAGTAACATTTGATTTTGTTTGCCCACAGGAAAATCACAGAGAATTTACATACTGTGAAAAATCTCTGTATTCATCAAATTTCAGCATAATTTGTATTTTTTCCACTGGAATTTTAAAAACCAATTGATTTGGAAGGTAAAGGAAAGCACAAGATAAAATTAGCAACGCGGAAACTTAAAAGCAACAGGAAGCAAAGCCTCAGTAAGAGACACAAAGTATATGCACATTAAAAATGAACTGCTCAGCTTGATAGAAGCACACTGTTGTTGGAGTTCCCAAGCCCTGGGAACATGCTGGCAGACATGATGGTGAAATGCTTATTTGGAATTATAAGACCAGTCAATTAGTCTCTTTTTGACAGTCATTTATTTGGTCTTGATTCCCAGTACAGTAAATACTGAGTAACAAACTATGAAATAATGGAACTTTTAGTGGAGTAAGTGGACAGCAAGCTAAACACAATGACCAGAATTACCAGCTAGGTGAACATGTACTTTTTTCATTTTTACTGCTTTTGCTAAACCACACAAAGGTACAATGATAAACTAGGCAGTCAGTGACATCTAGGCCTGTTCTCCAATGTAAAATTACGTGCTGCAACACAGCATCAAAAAATGCATCTTATTACTCGCTGAAGAGGCCATATTTACAGCCTCATAAACGCATTTCACACATATCGTGTCATTTTACCTCGTTATCGTTTCATTGTCAACAGTAAGATTCCCAAAGAGATTTTACTTTCCAAGAAGATTTCCAAGGTACTAAATGTCACAGCAGACAAGGCAGAGCATTTTACCACAAGGAAAAACCAAACAAGGTTCATCTACATGTGACCGTAAACATGAAATTTTGCCATTTAGCTGGATATCCCCCTAAACGCAGATTTTCGCTGCTGCGGATGTGAAACCTGAACGTGTGTCGAAGGTACTTCTCTCCCCCGCAGGGGGCAGGTCCGGCCTGTAGCCCCCCCCCCCGCGCCATGCCACCCGCCACGCTTAATTAGATCAGCCAAACAGGCCGGGAACGCAAACAAGCACAACTCTGCCGACACACTTCCAGATTCAGTTTAACTTTGAGGATTACAAGTTGAGGGAGGGGTAATCCATTAGCGGTTAAATCCGTGGAAAAAGACTGCATCTCCTTCAGAACCATTTGTCTTGACAAAGACCCTGTTTGCTGGGGGGGTTCTTTAGGAATAAACATCGGATTTCCTGGACAAGGCTCAGCGATGACAACATTAGCCTGTCCAGCGGTTATTGCCCTCATGCAGTGGGGGACAGCGACAGGAACAGGCCGTGTGGCGATGGGAAGGCATGCAGCCGCCCCAATAACTGCAGGCCCCACACCATATTCATGTTTTGGGGGTGGGGCGGGGGCGTGAGAGAGAGAGAGCATGGAGGGGACTCTTAGGCCACTGCGTTCATATGCAATGCCCCAACTGCCTGGGGGGGGGGGGGGGGGGGCAGAAGGAAAACAAAAGAGGAGACAGGCAAGGCTCTGTGGGTGGGGGACATGCTGGCAGCTAATGGCTCCCCCGCACCTCCCACACCTCCCACTCGCCGCTAAGAATGCTGGGCCATGAACCAAGCGAGCCCACATCAGGGATTTCTCATTAAAAACGCTGCCGCCCACGGCCCCGGCTTCTAACTCCGGCGATCGGTCTGAGAAACCTATAAATATCACCTAGCTGTCAGAGGCTGCCGTTCGAAAAGCTGACTCACTGCCCAGCTTGAGACCTACAATTAATTCAAAAACATTTGGCCCCTTATGTCCCGATCGGAGCAGAGCTGGGCAGACGGACAGTGGAGAGCAGAGCCAAGCACTCGAGGCGAGCCCGACAGCACAGCGTGCGGATTCGCCCCCAAACCACATACTCGCAGCGGTGTACGGTTTCCAGCGCGCTCAAAACAAATTCAACACCCACTCCCATCGATGCTTCCAGTGAAGCGTTTCAAGTTCAGATGGAAAATAAAGTCCTAAACAAAATGTAATCAGCACAGGGTGATCTCAAGCCCGGGACGCATAAACCGGATCCCAAAAAGAATCATTCACACATGTTGTCTTTTACCTACAAAAAAAAAAAAAAAAATTGAAAGGAAATCTTGAAAGTAAAGGCTGTCCTGCAGGGCGAGATCTTGGCCTTTGAAGCTCCACTGGAAATTTTTAAGGGAGTTCTGAAGTTGTGTATCTTACAGACAATTTCATCACAAACTACTTTCAAGAAACACAAAGTAAATATCTGTATACTCCAGAAACACGCACAGTGGGGGGGGGGGGGCTATCAGGTTTAATGCACAGTGTAAGCACATACCTCCCAAGAGCTTTTTGACTCTGCATTTGGCACAGTTATCTAGTTAAATAAGCAGCCAGTGGCATTTCACGTTTCCATTTCACTGTGTTACAAAGTCAAAATTTAGCGGCGAGTTACAGCTCAGGACACGTGCCACATAACCGAGCCACACCAAGCCGTGTCAGAATCAGCATCAGGAATTAACCCTGGGGGGGTGACAACAGAAACGCAGAGAGCCTCCCCTTAGCTGCTGTTGGATAGTCTGTTTTTCTCCGGAGACTGTGTCAGCTGTAAGTTATGCTAACTTCATTAGCTTAACCGGCATTCACAGGTGCAGAGTCCATTGTGGCGCTGGAGGGTTCCGCCTTCTTAGAAACACCACCATACGTTCATCATCATCATCATCATCACGGTATTGACATTCCACATGCATTGCGCTTTGTCTACTACATTCCAGGTCAGTCCAAAGCCCCGTTTTCGTAGCCTTCGATTCCATTATCGGAGCTCAGCCACTGCACGTGCCCCAAAGCAGGGCGTGCACTGCCGACTGTTCTCACACACACCCTTCTCAGCGGGCGACTTTCTTTACTCATAACGCGTCACATGATGTGCTATGGGTAAAGAAGCAAGCGAGAGATCACCGAGAGGGACATCTGCAGCAGGGATCGGGGCTGGGACAGGACCTGAACCCCGATTCTCCTAGCAACATTTGAGCGTAATCATGCCTGAACATCACGTGCTGCTCTTGAACAGCCTGGAGTCTGAAACATGGCTTCTCCAAACTCCAACTCTGCCCAAGAACAACACTCCTCTCTGCATTTTCATTTACTTCTAAATCTACTCCATTCTATGACTAAACTACAGCTATGTGAAGCATCAGAGGGTCTCAGACCTCAGCAGGCCTCAGCCCCACCTACCTCACAGGCCTCAGAGCCACAGCGAGGTAATACAAACTATCAGGGAAAGTCATCTTTTATCACCGATAAATCTGCCAATTTACACCGCGCTCACCACAGTGTATAAGCCCCTTTCACACACCCCCTGTTAGAAACCAGTTTTAAAAAGGCATGAATCATGCCATGACATCTGTATGCTGTATGTGCACATACACAATTATACACAAAAGCCTCCTTACTACCTTGCTAATGTTTCTGGTTCAGCAACAATAACTGCTACTGTAAAGCACTAGAGCTCTTCTCCAGTCAATACCTGTACCAGCAGATTCTGGTATACTGCTGGGTTTCTGTTTCGGCCCCAATTTGACAGCCGCGAGTCGCTCCGGGCAGGGGCCTGGACAGACAGCAAGGGGTCGGGGGAGTCCGTAACCCGGAGACAAGGAGCATCCAGTGGCACTGAGGGATCCCGTGATGCGAGGGAAGGCAAAGGCCTGAAGGAGCTGGCTAAAGCCAAGAGATACCTGAAATTTAACTAACAAAAGAATTTTCTTCCTTCACTGGCCATAAGCATTCAATCCATATCTGCAGAGAAAATCTGTCCTTTAGGAGTTTATTCCTCACATTTTAAGAGGGCATGTAAGAGTACACACTGTGCCTAAGCTCTGAATGTTTATATTACCATTTCTGCACCGAGTGAAGAGAACGAATACCTTAATTTCCCCGATTCACTAAAGCCGCGCTCACACACTGCTGAACTGGTTCCTTTTTACAAGATGCTGGTCTACAATGTCACATGTCTGGTTGTGCTCTGGTGTTAAATGAGCATTAGGAGGAAGATGGGGGAGGGGAGCCGGATGGCCAGCAGAGCAGAGGCGTGCGGGCCAGGCCCGAGGCAGAGTGCGGCGGGGGGCTCAACAGGCGGCTTCCACATCTGTTACACAGAAAGAAAGATGATCTGGAGAAGGCCCCGGACCGCACAAAGGAGTAGACGGTACGGGTGTCAGCACTGGTCACGGCACAGGCGGCGAACTCAGTGAGTCACCCTCGGCCTCCATTTCAAGATCACAGAAAGAAGAAAAAAAAGGATTCTGAAAACATAAAAACGCAGGCTTGTTTCGGTGGTAACCACGACGATCATCCGGGGAAGCTGGGCACTTCTCTGCCGTGAGCCGAGCCGTAATCCGCCATGCTCCTAAAACAAATCAAACTCACAGCGATGGCTCCAGTGCAAACAGAGA